TGCTACTGTCATATACTACATCGAACACACTACTCCGAATATGAGCTCTTCTGGATACAATTATTACGAATGTATATTACTCCGAATATGAGCTCTTCTGGATACAATTATTACGAATGTATATTACTCCGAAATTAAATTAAAATTGTATCAACTTGATAAAAACTTCTATGAAAGGCAATAACTCCGAATTGATTTACATCACTTCGTTATAATACCTAAGATTCATAAATAGTTTCCAAGTAGGAAGTTAAATTCCTTGGTATTCTTATTGATAAAATTGTCATCACTAAAATCTAGATATTACAGGATATTGCCTGTAATAAAATATTCTGCTAGTAATAAATGATAATAGTTCAGTGGTTCCCAAAATTCAAAATAGCCATTAACGCGTTAGATAGGTAGGTAAACGCGTCCTACTTTAGAAGTAATTTAAAAATACTTTCAAGTCGTCACCACTTTCTAACCAGAACGAAAATATTTGGGCAAAAAAAGCAGATTCTGAATCTGCACTCACAGTTAGTCGGCTCGCGAAAATGATAAAGGCTTATGATGTATATAGATAAGCTGTATTCGGACGTAAAACGTGATATTTAATTGTTTAATTGCGTGACATAATTTTAATAATTAATTGTAGTTTACATTAAAAAATGTGTAGATGCACACTTCTTATAAGTTGGGTTTGAATTGGAGGTGTAGTTCATAATGATAAGTTTGTACTAGGTACTTACCATTACTTGATTACAATAAATTAATGTAAAACATTTGAACATGTAAAATATCACTTAAAGTATTAAAAACTCAGAATTACATAAAACATTGCCATTATATGATCATATTTTACAATATACAGCATTGCTAAAACATAATAAGAAATAATAAAATCGAGCAAAAAAAATTCATATTATTTTTAATAATAAATTAAAAGTTTAAAATGATTACAATTTTTAAAAAACATCGATAATAATATTGAGTAATCTATAACATAAATTATAAAGAGTAACGAACTAAGCACAATACCCTGTGATACTCCATGGTTTACTAGTAATGGTTGATTCAGGTTATCATTAATTTGTTCTACTTAACATGCATAACTTAATTTATTAAGTAGAAGTTCGTGATTCACATAGTCAAAAGCTTTTTGTATATCAAAAAAAATAACCATAGCTTTATTATTCCGATTTCATTTTTCGTATATATATTTGTTTACAATAAATTGTGCATCAATTGTAGATTTCCCTTTTAAAAAACCAAATTGATTTTTAGAGAAGAAAGAATTCCCGTCAAGAAAATTCATAATTCTTGGTTTAATACACTTTTCATAAATTTTAGATAAGCGTAAGGAAAGAGAAATCGGCCTTTTATTGCTAAAAATTAGCTTATCACCCTGTTTGAAAATTGGAATTACCATAAATTTTTTTAAAATTGAAGTATACAATCCTGATGATAGAGAATGATTAAATAAAATCATTAGAGGAAGGAATAAGGTATTTATGTTTTTTCTTAAGTATGTAGGTAGTTGGAAATATCATATCCATAATACGTGGAATATTCTTTAATTTTTAACGGGTATTTTTCAATTTCATCTTGTGTAATAGTTGAGAGAAATAACGAATTAATTAGAATGGCATTTTGATTTCAATTTATCCCATTTAGGTATCTATTATATAACTATTCTGTCGAATGTAATACTGACTCTTGCATAATATGATTTTAATTATCTAATGCCATGGAAATTATACATGTATATTAAAAATGTTTGCATACTTAATGCATTACAAACATCATTAATACAATGCAGTGTTGCCAAATTTTTGTTCGTATTGTAAAAAATGTTCGTACCTTCTCACATAAAAACAATTTTCATAGCTGAGCCCAGTAGTGAATAGTCATTATCACACATTACTAGAATTTATTATCCTAAACACACTAATTAATTTAAATAAATTCATTTAATTATTAAAATATAGGTCCACAAAAAGATTAATTTAGTTTACTCTGATATTATCAAAGAGTATTTATTTCATATTCGTACACCTAGCAACACTGATATACTGTATAATAATATGCTTATATTACGGATTAAGATATATCTTAATTCGTGGTTTATATACTAAGTACTAAGTACTTAATATACTTAAGTATTAACCTGTGTAGTTTAATCGGTTTGTCAATTAGTTCCAACGTTTTTTGTTAAATTTTTTGATATAGTGATAAATAATAAAAGTTTATATCATCTATATAAATATAATTATAATTGTATTATTGTTTATTAAATATTATTATTAATATTAGGATTTCCATGTTTTGAAAATAATCGTCAAAAGATTTATCGGATAGAATATTGTATTGGATATAAATTTGTAAAAACAATTGTAGGTATGTATTTTTTGTATCATTTTTCTTTAATGTAATAAGTTAGATTTTTGCTGCCATTGTTCTCAATATTAATTATTAGGGACAACCAAAATGTATGGTTAAAAATTGCGTTAGAATCGAAAAATGCATATTATATTTTATTGAAAATTACAGGATATATGCCAAAATATGTCATTCCACATAATCTCCATCGAGACCAATGCATTTCTGAAGTCTGTACACCTGATCTAGTATACCTTTGTTGCATATTATCAGCTCCATCTCTTGAAGCCATTTTGTTCACAGCTTCCTTAACCTTGTCATTAAACTCGCTGGTCACGTAAAAACTCCTTTAATTTTAGTCAAAACATGGTAATCCAATGGTATTAGATCTGGAGAGTATTGTGGTTGAGTCATAATATCTCATATAAATGAATCGAGCAGGTTTTAAGTTAGGTGGATGTTATGGGGTCTAGCGTTGTATAAATGAGTGATATACCACAAATCAGCATTCCCTTCCTATTGTCTTCGATTTTTTTTCAACCAACATTTTTGGTGGTCACTTTGTTTATATAATTTACCAACAAAGTTCCTTTCCAGTCCTAAAAATACGGATACCACCATCTTCCTCTCTAAAAACTGGATGTTGAAATTTTTTGCTGATGGGAAATGATGCCACTGTACAGACTACCTTTTTGATTCAGGAGTATAATTGACACACCCGTGTTTCGCCTTCAGTCGAAATAGATTGTTCCTTTTCATAATATTCAAAAAATGACTGACCGATATCATACCTGCTGTAGGTGTAGCTAATGGAGAACAAACTTATTGACACGTTTGACAACATTTTGCAATTGATTGATGAGGCGCTAGATGACCTATTTTGACTGTTAGAAACGTCTCTACACATTATTGGTATAAACTTTGAAAAAAAAAATTATTTCCATTCTATATAGCCGTTTTAACCTTACTTTCTGTACTTGTGAAACCGTTTTACTATGATTTATTTTAATAATTAAATCTAGAATTAATTATTAATGCCCACAGTATTTGACAACATTAATTAAAAACTCATGGAAGTTGATAAAAATTTTGGAAATTCTCTACTAAATTATTTTTTATTTTTTATTCTGAATGTTAGGTGTAGAAAAAAAAAACCCTAGTTTTTGTAATTTTACTAAGATTATTTTAAAATAATTGATATAATTGTCAAATATTTTACTAAAATGTAAGAAGTCTGACAACCAAACCATTTTATTTTTGTAATTCAGTTATTACTTTTAATTGTCATTTATTATTTTTATCTTAAATTTGGCTTAATAATAATGTTAGTGATAAAGAATTTGTAAATTATTTATTTATTTACTTATTTATAATAACAGACTTTTCGTCCATGCATCAACATAATTACAGGTTATTCAGATACACCAAATTACAAGAAAAATTGCACAAAAATAAAAAGCCCATATAATATATATTTTAGTTTGAGGAGAAAAGTGTCGGTTTAAGATAAGAACAATAGAAGGAAGGGTTGGACATAAGGCGAATAATTGGTTTATTGAGTTCGTTATTAGTAGAGCGGAAAGGAATTGAACAGTTAATACAAGAAGGTATATAAAAGTTAGGATTAAAAAGTAAGAATGGGCAATCAATTTCGTTGGAGAGGAGTTTTTGCAGGAAGTTAATATTGACAGAAAGTCTGCGCTCAGCTAAGCTTACTTAATTAAGTTTATGAAGAATGGGGTCACAGAAATGTGGAGGGTGATCAATTTTGAGCAGGAAAGCTGAATGCTTAAAAAAGTGCTTAATCATATCTTTAGAGCTGAGCTGACCAAGAATCTAATCTTTAGATGGAAATTTTTGGTCCTATGAATAATTTGAATCAGTCAGTTGGTTTGATCATTTCGGTCAGACATCTAATATTGTTCTTATCATTAGGTAGGAATTGTCATTTATTTTAATGATTAAATTATTTAAATCGAACTGGCGCGTCCTATGTTACGCTACTGAAAAAGTTAGCGCCAAAGTTGAATAAATTGTTTAACAACTACCAATTAATTACTTTTGGTTAGGTACTCCAAGGTCCTAGAGTATGAATGATAACAAAAATTGTTTTAAGCCCGGTTAACATAAGCAAATATTTGGTGTACATCAAACTTCAAATATTTTAGAAACATTTCTAAATATTTGACAGTTTTGTCAAATATTGGATTACTAGAATGATAACAATTTGTTATCATTGTATATCATGGTAAATAATAATAATAATATATTTCATCATCTTATAACCAAGAAAAATTAAATAAGATAAAAACTTTTCAAAAAAGTGAAATTTGTGCTTTGAGTAGGTGAGTTCCTAAATAGAAAGTAATAATTACCATTAGTTAAAATATAATATTTATAATATATACAATTAAAAAAACTTATTAAACAATCATTGTGTTACAATTTAATGAGAACAGATTTATATAAAATCAATATTATTTCAATTGAATTAATATATTTTACAAGGAGTTTTTTATTCTTAAATTTACTTATATCTATGTTATGGATTAAAAGATGGCAGATCAATTTTAGACTTATACAATTATATTTTTATAGAAAAGAGCTTTTAAATTAAAAACATTAAAATCAATAAACAAATTTTTCATGGAATTGAAATTTGGTTTTTTCAAATTATTTTTATTAAACCATGCATTATAATCTTTAAAATGTTTAAATTATATGTTCCATTTCAGATTGCTATACTATAACTCATCACCGATTGAGCAAGAAACATATACACTATTCTATTAACTGCACAGTAAATAAATTAAAAACAAATAATTCAGAAATTGTTCTAGTAGATAAATCTAATGCTATTCTTATCATGTAGACTAATGAAATTCATAAAAAAAACTTTAGATTTTATAATAATATTCAAAATCTAGGTGCATTGAAAGGTTTGTTTTATTTTTTTGATTTTCTAAACAATTTTCATAATAATTATGAAAATCTGGAAAAGAAAAATGAATAATAAATTTTAAATTTTTCTCTTTAATTGGTTTTTCTATTATTATAACCTATTTATTCACTTATAAATATATAATACATACAAGGTTTAATTAATATGAAACACTTTTTTTGTGTGTGCAAATATGATTTAGTTGATTATCAAATATTCTATATCATACCAAATTCCCGTTTACAACAATGTCCTACTTATATATGTTCAACCTTTATTTTGTATTTTATAATACCACCAATATGTTACCATATTATAAAATAAAATATTATTGTATACAATTTGTCAAAGTTAATATGTATGCTCTCCTCCCCCAGATATGAATTTTGCTGCAAATACTCAAATTATATTTAATACTCATTATTTATTATATTTTTCAGACACATAATATACAACTCTAAAGAAGTAGGTGGAAAAATGGATACTATTACTATAAAAAAAGAAATGGATATCATTGATGGTTTTATTTATGAGACTACAATTATTGTTGAAGATGATCCTATGAAATCAATTTTGTATGAAGAATCAAAACTTGAAAAAAAATGTTTTATATGCGCTGATTGTGGTAAACAATTTACTTCAAAATTAATTTTGATATCACATATAAAAACCCATACTAAAATTAAACTATATCAGTGTAATGTGTGTGATGCATCATATTCTACACTATCTGTTTTACAAAAACACTTAAAAGTTCATAACCCTGAAAGAGAACACCAGTATGAAAATAAATCAATGCAAATAAAGTGAGTATTATGTTATTTAATATTTAACTGTGTGTTCTTTAAGTATAATAAGGCTACTCTCCTACTAGTGATTTGATGTGATTAGAATTGGTGATTTTTATCAAGGCTATTTTTCCAATATTTATAAATAGGACTTCTCTCATACATGCAATGTAACTATCATCACAGCAGTGATAAGAATTGCACATGACTGATCATGTTCAGTTTTATTGCAACAACTGCAATTTTGGTATATGGCAAAAAATCAATAAGTCAAAGCAACTTGTAAAGTACAAACAAATTTTCTTTACTAATTCTCTTTTTACTAAGTTCTCCTGAAGCAACATGAACATTTATGTTATTACTAGATAATTAGGGATGAACCCAAAATATGGATTTTTTTTAAAAAATTTCAAATAAGGCCACTTCACTATCACATTATCATCTGAACTATCTAATTCCATATTCAATACATGAATGATGCTATAGAAAGGAATTGTCAAAAATAATACAAGTACAATTTTAACAACAGGACTTCAATTGTTTGAATGAGTAAATTAACACAAAACTCATCACATGTGACAGTTTCGTGTTTTTTTTTTTTTTTAGTTGAATTGTAAGAAAGCTGCCTAACTGTTTTAATCTTAATGTTAGCACTGATCTACTGTTGAATTCACAGAATAATTTTAGCTTAATAGTTACCATTATCTAATATATTTATATAAGTAATTTATTAGAAATAGTGATGTACCTACCACATAAATTACATTCAATTTTGGAAAAAAAATTTTACTAAAAATTATATTCTTTTATGATTATTTAGGTGTTATATTTATTTGTCTACAAATGAACTGGTAAAGATGCTTCATATTTGCTGTATATTACTTATAGACTACAATCATCTATACAGGTTGAATCATGACATATTATTATATGTTATAATTAGGGTTAGGATGTTTATGAACTTAAAATCCATAAAAAAAGCTAAAAATGTCAAAAAAGGACTAAAAGATAACTTAAAAAATATTTAATAGAGCAATAATGGTTGAAGGGTTTGGAAGCCTCCTATAATAGTTCTATATTATTCAAAAATAATTATTACAAATTAATTTTTTCAAACAAATTTGGACATTATTAAAGAAAAATACTTTGTGTTAATCATTTGTCAGTGTTAGAAAATTGTATTTAATAGGGTTCAAATCAAATAAAACAACATTTAATAAAACTTTAAAACTCATCTACCACTTTTGATTTTTAAAAAGTTTTACATGCTTTTTTGATAATTTAAGCACTTTTTTGCGAATTTTAAGTGCATAAACATTCTAATCCTAGTTATAATGCTATTTATTTCAACCAATAGCTGTTTCACATCTGATATTAATTATGAGACAATAATTTACAAAAAAAATTAAGGAAAATCAGTTATGACTGATGCAGTGATGAAAATATAAGACCGTATTGATATTTAATTTTAAATTATAATAGTTTAGCACATTAAATGCATGCTATTAAAAACATAATACAATTCACATACTTTATTTCTATTTAACAAACAAATTATAGTCATATAAGAAAAAACAAAATAAATTGGTACATAACTATGAATGGTTGTCACAACAGATAGGTAAATGTGTATATTTTACATTATATTTACCATGTTCTACAATTCTACAACAGTAATGTACCTTTATAGAACTTTTTTTGTATAACACCTACCTGTTTTATGTTCACACATATTATAAATATAATATTATTATTTTATTACAAACTTTTTATATGTATTTAATTATTATTAAATTATTATATTTGTAATTATTATGATGACTATATTTTTCAGAAACATATTAAACTCCAAAGAAGTAAATGAAAAAATGAATACTGTCACAATAAAAAAAGAAGTGGATATCATTGATGGTTTTGTTTATGAGACTACAATCACTGTTGAAGATGATACTTTCAAACCAATTTTGTATAAAGAATTACAAAAAGAGAAAGAAGTACAAATTCACAGCAATGAAATATTATATCAATGTGATAATTGTAAGAAGACATTTTCTCAGAGACATGCTTTGAAGTGCCATAAAAGAATTCATAAGTCTTTTGAATGTAATGTGTGCAAAAAAAAATTTTCTCAAGCAATTAATTTAAAAATGCATGAAAAAATTCATACAGGAGAAAAACTTTATAAATGTGGCTTGTGCAAGAAAGCTTTTATTCAGTCATCTGGATTATATATCCATATAAGAACTCACAGCGGGGAACGACCATACAAATGTAGCACGTGTAAGATAAGATTTTCTCAAAAATCTCATTTGATAAACCACGAAAGAATTCATACTGGTGAAAAACCATTCCAATGTGATTTTTGTAAAGTGAAATTTTCTAAAAAACACACTTTAGACAACCATAAACTCATTCATTCTGGAGAAAAGCCTCATACATGTGATGTGTGTAAGAAGAAATTTACTCAGTTATCATCTTTAATCAGCCATAAAAAAACTCACACTGGGGAAAAACCATACGAATGTGACATATGTAAAGTTACCTTTTCTCGAAAGTCCTATTTGAAAATCCATGGAAGAACTCATAGTGGTGAAAGACCATTCCAATGTGATTTGTGTAATCGTAGATTTTCTCGGAAATATATTTTAATCAACCATAGAAAAGTTCATATACAATAAAATCCTTATTAATGTGATTTTTGTAAAAAAAATATTTACTCGCCCAATCATTTCATTCAACCATAAAAAAAGGCGAGGATGCACCACACAATGTGGTATGTGTATGAAAACAAGTCTTACAAATGCTACACTATAAGAAAACATTATATTAATTTCACAATATAGGACACCATATGAACATTTTATATTATTTGTCTGCTTTTAATATTAAGAATGAAAAAAAAAAAAAAATTAATACATTTAAAATGCGTTATTTATATTTTAGTGTTTTATGTTATTATTTTATTTGTATACATTACAGACTATGATTAACATGTTGAAGAATTGATTTATTATTACCCTGACAGTTCCTTTTTCATTTTGTATCTATAAATCTAAATTATAGCTTAATACTACATTATGTCACATCCACAATGAGATGAAAAAACTAAAACAAAACACAAACTCGTGCTTTTGCGACAAAATCAAAACATTTTTACATTAATTATGTTTTTTCCAACAAATTGTTTGTGTTTTGTTTTTGTTCTTGTGGATGGTGTTATAAATATAACAGAGGAAAGTATTTCGTTATTTAATGAGTAGTGCGAATAGTGTGATAGTAGTGAGTGCAGTTTAGAAGTGTAGCCCAGTAATTTGCTAGTGTACATTTTATAATTTTCATAATATGAACACAAAAAAAAATGGAGTATTGAAGATACTTGTAAGCTAATAGCTTTACAAGGAATCACTTTTATTGTGGGATGCAATGGTCATGAACTGTAAAAAATAAATTCAATAAAACCGACACATCAAAAGTAATCTCTAATTGAATACAGATTGTATGAAAATCGATCATAAATTTGTTATAATTTTGTCAACTCGAAAGTGTGGATTCAGCATTACAAAGTATATTTTACATGAAGTAGTTGCACATGAAATTATGATCAAAGTATAAGTTTGATGTTTTCTAAATAGAACATAAAATCAATTTTTGAATATTCTATTTTCTTTCTATAATATTCTTAGTTTTTAAATGTAATTTATTATATTTATTTTCTGTATGAGTTATCAGATTAAGTCTAGGTATGTATAGGAATTTGCATTAAAAATAACTGCTACAAATACATGATAATTATTAAATTCCAAAATATAGAATAGAACGAATTATTAAGTAAAAAATTGTACACTTTAAGTACCTAAAATTAGGTAACAATGAAAACGATTAAAAAAAAAAACAGAAACCAATTTCACAATCCACCGGGAATATCGCCTGTCCATGATATGATAATAGATGTATTATCTGGTAAATGGACGTTTCGTCCCCGTCAAAACATCGAGTTTACGGACGTTTCATCCCCAGCAATTTTTAAGATAAGACATTTGGTCCCCAGTTGTTATTTGCTACGGGACATTTGGTCCCCGTAGAATTTTCATCAAAGTACGTTTGGTTCTATGTTTTTAACTTTTTAAGAAATTCGCTAGAGGAAACTGATATCAATAATGATAATTTCATTTTATAGACAGTTGTAAGTGTTATATTACACAAGGTTTAGTGAACACACACCCACCGGATTTCTGATTGCACTTTTTTTGCACAAAAGATTGTTATTTATTAATTTGTTTTTATTTCGCGTTGTAACTAAACACTCCATATTGGGACTTACTCAAACTTAGGTACGCTATAGTGCGTACAAAATATTACTGTATATAGTATGTGGAAGTAGTAAAAATATGAGTATGAGTATAGTAGTAGTATAATATTGGTATAAATATCAGTGCCTATCCATTCTAAATGAATACTATAAACAAAATACTACGGGAACCAAATGTCCTGTCTTAAAAATGTCTGGGGATGAAACGTCTGTAAACTCAAATTTTTGACGGGGCCGAAACAGTCTAGAATCGTACTATCTATACTCTATAGTTTAAGTTAGGTTAGATTATGACGAAATAACGGGAACTCGTACAAAGTACGAAAAAATGTTAAAATTATATTTTATCAGAAAAATATAAATGTCACAAATAGAATTCGAATTATATTTTGTAGTTAAATATCTATGGCTAATTCTTCCATGGTTATAGTATGAAGACAAGAATAAGCAAATCAAACACCAAACTCTTACGACCGCCTGCATGAAAAACCGTCGCAAAATGAGTGGCATGTTTAAACAGCCACAGACTACTCTGCTTTGCGTATGCTGGGGTTGCTACTTTAACCCACGTAGTATAGGATTTATTCATGTTTTATGGATAATATATATTATATTTACATTGTACATTTTAGAGCTCGTAAAATTACACATTCATACGTGTGCATATGAATATATTTCATAAAAATAGGTACTCCACAATGGATAATAGGGAAAAAGGCAAATGGAAAAAAACTTTTAAACTAATTTTTACAAAATAATATTTTTATTCAACTAAAATATACGAGGTTAGTGGTTATTTTGTGGCCTAGCCCTCTCCCTTTCAAAAGTTTTATTACATTCGCTAGTTATTATTTTATACATATTATAGATAAGTAATATAGGTATAGGTAGATAGGTATAGGTATAGGTACAGTTTTTTAATTACTTGGATAGTCATTATCTATATAATTATTCGAAATATAATGCAGATATTGAAGTATCGCTAAACGCGAACTTTTTTTATAAGTTCAAAATGTTACAATACAAAATTTGTCAAATTCGCAAAAATATGTAAATTAGAAAAATGAAATAATTTTTTGTAAACATACATGTAGCTATAAACTTCAACAATTACAATACAAATTTTGTAGTATTTGCCAATGCTGTATCAGAATTAAATATTTTAAGTATATAATTAAGTATTTAATCTATAAACTAGTTTATCAGTTATAGTTTATAGGTCTATGGATAAATCGTTATAATTGTTATCATAATATTATAACCTTGGTAACTGTAAATTCAACCGTGGTTATAACCCGTGATTATAATCATGTTATAACCTCGTTTTAAATATGTTGTTTTAATACTATAAAATATAAGATAATAAACAATTTAATTAATTTAATAGTAATTTATAGTAATTGTAATCGCGGATTCAGAAATGTACAGAACAGTATTTAAGCAGATCCTAGGCGTGTTCTTAAATAGTTACTTATTTATTGGTGCATCATAAATCATGTTTGTTGAAATCAATATTAATGGATCTGAATTTTAAAACAATGGAAAACGTTAATGAAATAACTTTGAATCCAAATGAAATTCAAATATGTAAATCCTTTACAGTAGTAAGTTAAATATATTTAAATTTAATTTTTAAAACAAACAGGTTAAAATCAAAGAAACGAAACTAAATCTGTTCAAGTAACTTTTTCACTACGTAATCTCGATTCTCCACCTGTTACGTTAAACAATATAACAATTCCTAAGGCAAACGAAGTTAAATATCTTGGGCTAACTCTCGAAAATGGTTAACCTGGAGCCCACACATAAAACTTAAACGTAAAACTGTTAACTCTAGAATTCATATTAGACCACTCTTAAAATCCAAACTTTCCCTTTCCAATAAACTTAAGCCCTCTAACACCAACATGCTTCAAGCTTTTCAATCTATCTGCCTACGATTAATAACATCTTCTCCTTGGTATTTCACAAACAATAACCTTCACAAAGACCTAAAAATTCCTACACTCAATCAATTAGCAAAAGCACATTACTCTAAATTTCATTCCAACTTAAACTCTCACAGTAACCCATTAATAAAGCAACTTTCTTCCACCTCACTTCCTGGCAACGTAAGCAGAAGACTCAAAAGACAGTGGCCTAGAGACCTACTAAAATAATAAAAAAAAAAAATCATGACATCTAAAATGTTCACGGTCGGGTGGTGTTGCTGAGTGCCTGCCCACAAATGCTAAATTCTGTTACTTTATATTACATCAACTATCAAATTTGCTCATTGTACATAATGTATAGATTGTAAATAAAATTGCTTCAAAATAAAAAATAAAAAAAAAAAAAAACAAACAAGTATACCACATAATTTCATAAATATTGAATTTTAATTATAGGTGAACAATAGAATAAATAATTTCTTAAAAAGAAAACAAGAAGAATGCAATGATAGAAATACTAGACTGTATTGTTCAGAATCAAAAAGAAGCTATTTTGGTTCATCCAGAACTTGCGATACAATAGCAGCCAAACGGCAAAAAAGATCTGAATGTTTTGTTAAAAGTACTTTATATTTTCATTACATAATAAAAATAGTTTTTAATTATTTTTAATTGTATAGAGACTAAGGTGCATAATGCTATTGGACCACTGTGTAATGGTATAGATCCGGCTAGTGAAAATAGTTACAGTTTATCAAATCATACTAGTTTTACTGGACCAAGAACAGACCTGTGTGAAAGAATATCAAACTTAGAAAGTTGTTTAAATATAAAAAGTGAAAACTCTAATAACTATAAAACAACTGCTGATATTTATGCAAAATTAAAATCAATAGAAGATAAAGTATTAACACTTCAAAACATGTTGTTAGAAAAAAATGCAAATGTAATTGACATTAATAAACAAGTTTGTAGAATATATAGATTTATTTTATTAAGTGCTAAATATTAATATCAAGAGTATCTATTTACTAATCAATTAATTATGATAAATAAAAGCATTCAATTTCCACTCAAAATACAAATAAAAAATAAATTTGATTTTAATATTTACAGAAAATTTTAATAAACTGATGCTATAATATCACATGATTCTATTCCAGTATTTATTTATTTAAGAGTATTAACCATTTAATAATTTTGTTTTTCTTTATTATTTATTATTGTAAATCAATTGTTTGAAATATTTTAGATGTGGGAATTTTATTGGTTGCTACATCATGTATGAATAATTTATAGTTTAGGTTTGTTTTTATCAAATTTGACTAATTACATTTCTACTATTTATTATTCATTATTATGCTTAACATTTGTTATAATAATCTTTCTATTGCACTGTCCAAGAAGTGTATATTATTATACAATACTTTATTTTCCTTGTAGTTTTTTTAATATATTGGGAATATATTTATTTGTTTGAAGTACACTTGGCGTCACATCTCTAAAATTAAGTTTCAAATGGGCGTTTCCCCGAACCAAAACATTTAACCCAAACAATAAAGATATCAATTGAAAATACAGTTAATGACCTCTTATCCAACAGTAGTTTCGTTTCATAAACAATAATCATATTCCGAGTATACGGCACATTAGGAAAATGTATAAATATACTCCTATTTTATCTTATATTCTTTGGCTATAAAAAAATCAGTTTAAAGTGTCAAATGCAGGTCATTCACTACCTAAACATTGAAAAGGACATATGTGAATATTCTTTAAACAACATTATTTCAAAAAATAATGTATTAAATGGATACAACTGCTAACAAAGCCCCTCAAGTGGTGGCATTAATGGAATTAGGGATGTATCAATGTAATGTTGTATGGTAACTAAACTTAAGCCGTTTTGCCGAGTTTTCCAACGTTATCAAGAGACTGATGGCTTTATCCGGAGGCATGGATCAGGCCGACAACACTGCACAACGGACAGAGATGATTGTTTTATTGCGCAATCGATTTTCCAATGTTATACAGTATCAATAGCAACTCCACGCAGCTCGTCTATTTGTCTATTTAGCAATGACAAACGAAGGAAAGTGTACCGAAGGCAGGGAGAATGGTTTGCACAAGCCTGTATTGAGGACAGTAGAGTATTGGGGATGGCTCATGCATATTCTGGGGCGGCATTTCCATTGATAGCAAGACCGAGCTAGTGTGTGTTTCCAAGACTGGCGGTGCTCAAGGACAATGATCGCTGACTTCTCATCGATACATCACAGAGATCTTAGAGGAGTATGTGGTACCATATGCAGGTTTTGTTGGCGATGGGTTTATACTAATGCAATCGACAATGACAATGCTCGTTCCCACACCGCATTAATTGTAAGGAATTATACGGAAGAGGTTGGGATCCCTGTTATGAACTGGTCAGCAAGAAGTCCAGACTTAAATCCAATTGAGCACCTCTGGGATAAATTAAAACAATGAGTGTGGTCCCCAACAACTCTCCAAGATCTTCAAGATGCTGTTGTTGCACAATGGATGAGTATTCCTCAAGAATGCATTGTATAACTCATAACATCCACGAAAGAACATATGGAAGCAGTAATTAAGGCAAGAGGAAGTAGCACTAGATTTTAAATAATATTTAGTAACAGTTTTTTATTTTTATATGAAGTCTATTGTCTGTTTCTGTTTGTAAAAATGTATAACCTCAATATAAATTGTTTTCTTCTACGATTAACTTGATTTTTAAAACACTGATAAAAAAAAACATGTACCATTTATTTATTTTTCAAGTTTATTTAATCACCTTTCAAATGATATATCATAACAGTACCCTTACATATGATTAAGTGTAGTTAAAATTACTTTGAAAAATAATTTGCAATAGGTGCGATTTTTGTGACGCCAAATGTAGTTATTACTTAGTCTCAAATATATTTAAATATATTAGGTATACTTGTAAATAATATATATTTGATATTAATTGAAATACAATATTAAATTATTGACAAAATTGTGTCATTAAATGCACTTTTATAAAATCTGTACACCTAATTTATTTTAATTTTTCAGGAAGCATTGCTCATTAAATATAATTCAGATAAGAAGCTGCCAACAAACACTTCAGTGGATGTCTTGTCTAAAAAGTCTGTAAGTATCTGAATACTTAACTACCTACATAACTAAATACCAGGGCTCAGAACTGACAAGACTTAATTTATTTTGCATATTTGTTTAAAAAGTAAATAGTAAATTAATTTAATCATTTTTTCAGAAATATACTGCTGAGGAAATACAAGAACTCATTGATAATATTAAAAAATATTAATTACAAATCAAAAATATCATGGTTCAATATAACAATTGATATTTATTTTTACTGGTTGCAAATATGTATTACTTATAAATAATATTAATTTATAGGGTTTCAAATTTGATACATTACTTTTGATTTCCAAACTAGTATAAATTCATACTATGTATTAAAATATTAGAATTTGTGTAATCACTGTTTTCAGTGATATCTGTATAGTTAGATATACTTATATTATAAATATCAATAATACACAACAAGGTTTCTCTGAAACCTATTTATTTTTTTTAAGCATTTATTTTTAAATTAATGACTATAATGTATTAATATTTAACTTGTAAAATAAATATGTAAATTTTATTTTTTAATACCATATTAAAATGACTTAAATTGTGATTATTTTTTCTGTGAATAATATCTTTTGAATGTTGTATCAATATGTGTCAAATACCATGAGCCATTAAACAAATTATCAATATTTGAAGTTGGTTGAAATGGTGCTGTATAAAATATATGCAATTATTATAATTAATAGTTCAATAAGTATAATAATTACAAATATAAATAGAATTATAATGTTACCTTGATTGTAAATTAGTTCATGATTTTCCATCATAGTTTCAAATTCAACACCTGTTAAACAAAGTCTGTTTTCTAACATTGCCGGAACATGTTGAAATAAATTGTGGACTAATATATCCAATTTTGCACCAGGGTGTACAGTAAATGAATAAAATGATGAACACATACCAGAACCAAAAGAAAACATTGCTATTCGTTTACCAGCCATTTCACTAGTTGGTTTACTACAACATTCAATTATATTAATATGACAATTAATATTGTGCATTTATATGAAATACAATTTTATTACCTCAGTAAATATGAAATCAATCCACTGAAAATAGATGCTGTATACATGTTTCCTACATTCTTAGGAATATATTGAGTGGATGCAGTATGCTTTTTAAATAATTGTTCCGTATCTTTAATAACTTTTATATTTGATAATAATTCCACACCAATGTCTACATTTCTATGAAAAATAAATACATTTTTTTTTAAATACTTTAATTTTAGCTCTGAAATGTTTAAATTGGAATACTTACAGATATTTCAATAAATCTGAATTCTCATAAGGTTTTGAATCTAATTGTATGTCATTAAGGAGTAACCATGTAAATGCTTTTCTCACTAATTTTCCATATGGTGAATGAAATATAATAGCATCAAAATATTCCAATGTGCTTTTAGGACCTTGAGTGTGAAATAAAAAATTTAATTAACCACAGAATTTTTTTAAATATTGTTATAAAATACCGATATCACCAGAAAATTTCTGCAAAAATTTTTGTCGATACAAAGAATAACAATTGTACAAAGATTTGAAGTAACATCGCAGTGACAATTTACCATCCACTATTGGATAATGAGTATGCATATCTCCTTTATAAAAATCGTATGTGTTATCCATGTGTGAAGCTCTCAGTCCTGTTTAAGTAAATTAACAATATTCATATTCAAAATATTTTATAAGCAATTTAAATGTCAAAATTATGGATGGATTAAAAATATTAAACAAATAATGATAGATTTATAGTTTCAAAAAATACATTATGTAACCTCTGTCCAATGTTAATGGTGCGTTGGGCCCTAGCAACATGGCCACAGCACCTGCTCCACCTGTTGGCCTAGCTGTTCCACGGTTGTAGACAGCAACATCTCCAGCAACTACAATAGCGAATCTTCCTAAAAACATAGTCGATTAGAATAATGAAAATGATATTTATAAGTATGAAGTAGGTATATATAAGTATATAACATACCGTCCCAAGCACTGGATTCTAGCCATGCTATTGAGTTAAACAGTGCCGCCGTCCCTCCATAACAAGCATTTATCGAATCCACCCCTTCTACATTACAATTTTCATTGAACAAACGCATCAACATGGATTTTATACTTTTTGACTTGTCAACCAATGTTTCTGTACCTACTTCGAGTCTTCCAATATCGGAATAACCTAATACACCAATGCAATTAATAATTGATTAAGAATGTGTTTATTTATGTAATGACACCCCAAAGGTAATATCAACCTACCTACTTATGATAATAATAGTAATAATACCTACCTATCATACCAATAGGTACCTAGTTAAAATACATAGGTAGGTACATAAAGAGCCGGATTTTATTGAATTTATATTTTGGATGTATTATGACACTGGTGTCGGAGGGTACTGTTATGACATGTCCCGTAAGCGTTATATATTGTAAATTAAATTTCGACCATTGAAGTTACAAGAAATATTCGATATTCGACACTATTGTTTTGATAATAAAACGAACGATAAAAAAACGGGTAGATTAATTTGTTGAACTGCGGCCACGAACTACTTTAGCTCAATAATAGGTAGTATCTACTGTACTAGTACTCAAAATTAACAGATTATATAAATATGGTTAAATTTATTACGTATACAAAACTTCATAATTTCTGGTAAAGTTTAACGGATTTTAGAGCAGATCAGCAGATTTACTGAACTGCTACCGCAATTCAACGAAATACTGAATTGGTTTTAACAAGTGTAATTTTTAACTTGAATACATGAAACTAGCAAGTTATTTAACCTACGATAGAACTTATCACGTAAGTATACAAAATGTCATCATTTCTGATAGTTTTATGGATTTTAAAGCAGATCAGCTATCAGCAAATTTACTGATCTGGGTTATAACGAATGCAATTTTCAACGAAAATATAAAATCACCGGTAGCGTTAAAATAGTCTTTGACCCTAGTTCAGCAAATTAGGCACTCTTTAAAAAAACGGTTATAAAACTTTATACAATTGATTCCTCGACTACCTTATCATATGATTATAATGAACTCAATAAAAATACCTACATTTGGTGATAAAATTGTATTTATGTCTCTTGCAATATCTATATGGATATGCCCTTTTGGCTGTTATTTAGATAGATAGGTAATAACTTTATAATATTACTCGTTTGGGTGCGAATCATTAAAGAGCTAACGGCAGTCAGACACAACGAAACAACATCTTCGCGGTCGGAACAAATGGCCATACGTTCTTGACCCAGACCGATGGTATATTTTCCTTTGGGTACGCGATCGTGTTTTTCGAGATCATCCTGTTCTACGTATCTGGACGGAATTACCAACTCTATGGCTAATATCCCTACGTTGTCCGGCCATTTGCCTAGATCGAAATCCATTTTTAAGTTTTCTAAAAAAATAAAAAAACATAATAACATTTGAGATAGGTACTTATGCCTAATAAATAGGACACAATTGGAACGTTTGGTAGGTATCTCCTAGGTATATTATTGATTTTAATAATTAGGTAGGGTACCAAACTAAAAACTTAAAATATAAACCAATATTTTAAAATATATTTTTTTTAAATGTACCTACTTTACTTGCATAGTTATAATCAGGACGCGGGACTTAGTGTGCTTTTAAAAACGTTAAAATATTCACTCAACAAGTTTCAATAATGCTTATGCTAAGCTATGTATCTACTGTCAAAAGTTCAAATGGCTAGTTTTATTATAAGTTGCCCAACGAAAAATTATATAAGAAAATACTAAATATAGGTAAGGTACTTTACCATTTATTCATATTTATTTAATAGGTAAAGTGGTGATAATCGTAAAATGAGGATTAAAAAACAAATATTATTTTGAAAATGAAATTTTATAGATCCCTATTGTTAAAAATATTTTAGTACCCCATTAAAATGAATCATGTAATAAACTTAAATAATGTAAAAAGCAATTTTAAAAACTAAGTGTTTTTAATTTTGGTTACCTAACGTCAACAACCTAATTTTATTTTATTGAAGTTTTTTTTTGTGCGATTGTAAAGATCAAACAATTTTAAAAATATGCATTTATAGAATAAAAAGTCAAAATTTGAAATAATATAAATTAAAGTTTTCAATTTAAAATCTAAATAAGGATTTTGAAACAAATTTGTTGTTTTACTTATGTAGGCACCTACTCCTAGAACAAATATGCATCAGATACATTTACTTAAGCTCGAGTCGTGATTATAAGAAGTTCTTAAATTAAAACCATACTTTTTTTTTTTATTTTGTTCTTTATCTATAATTTAAAATTGGTACCTATCTATATTTGCATAAAAATAACTAGGTATTTTTCTAAACAAATCTATACACATCAAAATGAATAATTGACCATTTATCGGTTTATTAAAACACCTACCTAATTGTATAGACTAGGTATTATTTCTGCTGTTTCGGCGCCAATACGAATTTGATAGTTGCAATGAATAAATAATAATTAAAAAAAAAAACAAACTATTGACATAGAATATTAAATATGTAAATATTATACACTGACATCAAATTTGTTGTACTAACATGTTACCTATATATATAGACCAACTTGAAAAAAAAATGTGTGAAAAGTTATTCTATGGATAATTAATTAATAGGCAATTTTATAATTATTAATTAAATTATAAATAATATGTATTATATTTTATAAATAATGTAATTAAAATGTTCAACCAAGTTATTTATGTATTTTAAACGCAAGTGTGTGAAAAATTATTCTATTGTATGAAGTTTTAAGTATACTTATAACTTTTAATGTATATAGCGAGTTATTACATCACCTTGAATCAATACAAATATTCGTATTATAATATGTTATGCATAAATGTACAATAATAGTTTAATGTAATAAATGTATCCGAATTGGTTTCCGAGCTCATCCCCCACATGCCAAATTGGTTCCCGTTTGAAAAAGGTACCTACTTTATGAAGGTGAGCCGAATTGATTCCTGTTTAATACCTACCTACATTTATACAATAAACACAATAAATGTGAGTATAGTGTAGTAAATGTTTAAACTAAATATTGTCACATCACTTTTTAGCAAAGAGAAAAAGCCTTTAAAACCTTAAATATATTGTTAAGTTTTTTATGAAAATGCTGTCAAAACAAAATATTAATAATATTACCTATTAAAATAAATGAACACGATTATTTGTATTAGATTCTTAAGAGAATATTGTTAAAACAAAATACTAATAATATTTTTAATATATATCTAAATATTATAAGATGATAAATGGTAAAAAAAAAAAAATATTAACTTTGTTTTTATACAAAAATTTAATTTAATTGTTACCTATATATAATTTTACATAATATAAGAAACAATATAATATTGCCACAGAATAATTTCATCTTTAATTTGTGATAATTCAACTAATTAATTAGTATGAAATCATAATTTGAATCAGGTATTTATATATATATATAAATGTGTGTAGTAAATTATTTGTTTATAATATTACATTATTGCTTATATGATATAAGCAATAATTAACCCTACTATCAAATAAAAACAAATATAATTTTTTCATGCTGCATGTTTTATTATAATACTGTTAATGAATACATACAATTTTTAAGAAAATGAATAAATATTGAATAAAATATTACTTATAAGAATGATAATTAAATTAGATAATAATAATATTTATAATATATTATATAATAAACACAATATTAAATGTTTTATCTTCAAAACAAAAAAGAATAAAATATACTTTTTGTACATATGAAAAATAATGTTTGATGATAATATATATTTATTATAAGCTTAAGTTTGATGTCCACTAATATTTACTATAACAATTAATAAAGATACAATACCGACATGAATACTTACATCCATAACTTTCATAATAGATACTATTAACCACTCTTTTCATCAATGAGACTGGTTTTAGATTCGGAGAGTAGTGAGGGATCTATTGGTTTTTATTCTTATCCATCTGTAAACAACTTTTCAAAAAGAAACCTTGCTCCAATGCTTCGAGTGTAGTACCTTTTAGCAAGTTATTTTTTGATTTTTCAAAATTTATCGTAATAATTGAGAAAAACCAAAAGAGATAAACAATTAAAATTGATATCAGACGATTTCAATATTTTAAATTTATATGGCTTATATTTTCGACCATAAGTATTACTCTAAAAAAAATATCATTGATATTTTTTGTTAAATTTTTAATCTAGTTAATAACCAAGAAAGTTGTTTTGGTTTTCTTTATAGTTTTTTTTAATAACTGAGCGAAACTGAAAACGTAAAAATAATGCTTTTATTATTTTCAATTTTTAATGCAATTCAGTTAAAAATATTTGTAGAAAACTGGAAATTTTAAATGAAAACTTACACTTGCTTTTTCCAAGCAAAAGTTTTCTACTGTTGGAAAATTTTCAAAACATTTGAGCCATTTTTGAGCTATTTGTAAACATTTAAATTTTGCTAGTTTTTTTATATAGTTTTTATTTATTAAGTACAATATAAATATAATAAATTTTACATACAACAGCATGGTTGTAAAATATTGTTCTATTCACAACTGTAATTTACAAACCATTGGCGCCTTTATTAATTAAAAAAACATATTACATATTAAAAGAGCTTACAAACATATGAGTATTATTAAAAGAATTTTAACAACTGTCTTTGAATAATTATGTGCTAATTAATAATTTGGTAGATACAGTTTAAAACTGATTCATTGATAAACAATTGTCTAATAATTAAAATTTTATGTAGTGGGACACCATGATGCCATATTAAATATAACTCCTGTATGCCACAAAAATGTTTATGTATACCACAAACAAATTTTGAGAATTTTGAAAAACTCATACTGAGTTACAGCACTAATAGAGAAAAAAAATTAATTTTTAATAATAATTCTTGTTATCATGTATTTATTTTTGTATATAAATACATCACAAGTATTTATGTACACCTTTGATAATGTATTCTTAGATTTATTTTGATTGTTACAATAAAAGCTTTCAGACAGTTTAAATAATAAAAAAAAGTCTTGAAATAACGCTAAACATACAAAAAATGCAAAATAGTACTTAAATTTTGAAATATGCAACATAAACTTTCATTTATATACTTTTGTGATTTCTTTAAATGAATTTATAGCTTACAATAAGTATTTCTAAGATCATTAAAAATGAAATGCAATATGAGCTCTGATAATTAATAAGTACCCAAACAGTAAAAAACCTGCATATGAACTTGTTGTACTATGTTCTATGTGCATTTTTAAATTAATAATTTAATATTGACCATTCACCGAATACAGATACTCCCATATTTTTAAATGTTTTCAAATGTTTAAAAGAATGATAATTATGTTATTTACCAGTGTAGTGCCTAGCAAAATTGGCGATTTAAGCAAAAAAAAAAAAAAAAAAAAAAGGCTCAACCTGTCTATTGGTGTTCACTCATATATTATTGTAAAAATATTCAATTACTAAACTTTAAAAATGTTTAATGGCACCCCTGTAGTCATAGTACCTGGTGCGTAAGTACATCTCACACCCATTCAGGCATAGCCCTGTGAGAAAAACAATTGATGGGATAATTGTCATTTGTATAGCTGTAACATTCGCTATAAAAATAATATTTTAAGTTTTTCAGATTAATTAAAATAATATATAATCTATAGTCCATTCCAGCCGCTGACAAAAAAATGTCTTTGGCTGTGCATGTCTCACCACATTGAACCACTACAATGAACTTTTGCAACTTTTACAAAACCATACCTTTCTCTAGTGAAATAGGCTATAGGAGTAGTGGGTATACTATAGCAGGAAAAATAAGAGAAAACAAATTGAGATGGTATGGATATATTGAGATAAGGAAAATTTATTATTGCCACGAAAGTAACCAGAATAAAGTTGCTATGGTAAGAGTAGACAGAAATGGTGATGAATAGAAAAATGTGGAATACAAGAGTAACTGACCCCACCTGTGTGAGCTAAGCTAAAGGTTTAGAAGAAGAAGTTTAATCAAAATAGTTGTGATACCCTATACAAATTATACTACAAATTATAACCTAGGTAAAGGTAACCATACTTTATTGTGTACCTTTATACAATAAAGAATATCTTTGTGATTTTACAATATTAGATAAAATTCAATAACACATATAATAACAAAATATATTTCATATGTTAGTTAATTTATTAGTTCTGTTAAATATACAACCTTTTTGTGCTAAATAATTCATTATAGTTATAATGTTCACACAATCATCTAAAAGAAAAATATAACCATGATACTTTAATCTTTATTAAGATGAAATTAAATTATTATAATACCTAGTCCATTGTGAATGTTTCCAATTTGTTTTAAATTAGTTGACTGAAGCATATTTTTTATACCATATGGATATTGTCCTGTTGTCAGCCCGAATAACTATTAAATTAATTATTGTTTTTTTTTTTTAAAATTAGCAGCCTTATTAAATTTTAATTATTGAAATACCTTTTTAATATTTATCCATGAACACATGAAGTCTGGAACTTGTATAGTTTCAGGGAATAATTTACACTGCTCAGAAAATATATTGCCTAGGTCCCAGTTACCTGAAGTAACTATAATGGATTTATTTTCATTGTTTATGGTATGATGTTTATAAAAATGACAAAAATCATGGAAAACTTCATCAAACAATTTACTACCATTAATCATATCCTAAAATTAAACATAAAAAAACATAAGTATTATGAATAAACTTATATTAACATTAAAATAAAAATATATAATTACCTACTAGTTCTTATTTGTACATAATAAAATAAATGTAGGTACCTGTGTAATTCCAGTTAATTGAGTACAATATTCTGATAACTCTGTATGAATCATAGGCCTAACATATGAATGAAAACATGATTTCACTTCAAAAAAACCATTAAGTTTATTTAATTCCACAAATATACACGGAAATTCAATTATTTCCTAAGAAAAAAAAGTAAAATTAATATTACCTAATGAATTAATAAATTAATTTCAAATGTTTTTTCAATACAATGTTTGTACTGATATTGAAATATGTTACATACATATAACAATATTATTTTCCTGTATCTCCTATTTAAATTTGATTTGTTAAACAAATTAAAGAATTACAAAAAACATGATATATTTCTATGTACAATGTGTATGGCTAATGAATCATATTCAAATATTCTTAATTTTTTTGTTAATATTTTTAAAAAGTTTTAATGTGTATACTTTTATTTTTGTAAGTATGCAATGTTAAGGGATTTTGTCCATTCAGACAATAATAATTAATAATTAAGCATACTATCATTATATTTTGTATTTACCAAATGTTGTTGAGTTAAGTTTATGCAAATATTATTATTAAGTCAACAAATTAACATATCTCAACCATAAATATCAACCTGTGGTTTCAGTAAATGTGGTCCATTGTCACAAGTTGCTTCAAAATCTAAGATGAAGAATTTAGTATATGGCTGTTGTTGCAACAAACATTCAGTTTTCGTTTTAGATCCTTTATTAGGCTTGTCTATAGACCTTATAAATATGGTTTTGTGAGATGAAAAAATATATTTATGAAAAATGTGAGACCTAAATAAAATATTGCGTGGGAAAATCATGACTATCGGGATATACAATAAACATAAAAACAATAATAAATGACAAAAAAACTAATGGTTATTTGACAAAAGCCTATTAATCATGATACGATTTAACTTAAACCGTAGTGATCACTGATCAGATTATCAATATTCACTTATCGTATTATCATGAAGACTAGAATTATAATTTTTAATAATTCATTCTTATCGTCGCAGAATAAAATAATTTCTTACCCATCAACTAACAGTCTCTTTGGTCTCTTCACTTAATTTGTTCGTTTTTTCCATGAGTACACAAAGCATTTTGTATACATAAACACGGTATACCTATATCTTCCCTACATAGTGACGATAAAATAAACTAATGTTCTAATATCAGTGATGCGGACCAATCACGACAGCTGTTAATTTGGTGAATTACAATAATTAGGAAAAAAATAATTGAAAATTTTAATAAGAAACCGGTTACATCTGTGTATTATTTCATTATTTGACACACTTCGCAATATTCAGTACATTAATTACGATTATATTATAATTCAAAAAGAAAAATTTGATTTTTTTTCAAACAATACAATATATATGTCCGCGCCAGGTGCTGCAGATACATTTCAAAAAAAAAAAATATTATCACTACGACGCTATATTGTACATTTTTGCGCGCACACCCGCGACCCGCACTCGCCACTTACATGAAAGCAACGCGATCCTAACAACAAACACCACACACACGTAACGCGCGCCACCAACTGCAGTACATCAAGTCGAAAGGAGGCTGTTCGGCGTTTATTACTGTTTGTAAGTAATTTATTCGTATTTTTCAGTGTACTCGACATCGACGTTAGTCTGTGATATACATTCGCGGGAAAAATTCAACACGCTTGTTTGTCGTCCGGTATCTCGTCATGTTCCAATAGTATTAAGATTTACCAGTCTATCGTTGTAAACAGTAATTTTTCTAACATTGTTCTATTTGTCTCATTCGGACACTAATATTATTTTAACGGGTTATTATTTTTTCACCGTGAATAGTAGTTATGTGCACAAGTATCACTAACATTAAGTAGTGTAATGAAAATATAGATTGAAGAATCAATTAGGTTAGGGAAAAATCAAAAATCTTACCATGGATTATATTTTATTTGTACCTATACGAGTTGTACAAAATGTTTTGTAATATTATAATTTGGCATTATATCAGTCCCCTAAATGTCATTAACAGTTATCCTAATGCAATTTCCTTGCTCAATTTTCTATAACATTTACATTTTTATATAAGTACTTATACTGTATTTAACAATTTTGTATTTTTTTGTTACAGAAATAATTTTACTAAAGGTGAATATTTCTATCGCCTGTAGTATTTGAACTGATATTGTTTTAGTGTTTTACTAAAGATTTTGAAATGGCTGGAAATTTGCAACAGTTCAACAACATAAACAAAACAAAAGATGAAAAACGCCTGGCATTAGTTCAAATTGTTAAAATTGATCTGAATAAAGAAGTAGATGAATCTAACAAAGAAGGTTTCAAGTACTCGCCTGCATACATTACCACAAGAAGTGCTGCAAACAGCGGAACTACATCAGAAAGAATTCATTGTCAGCTGTTGGGTATGTAAAGTTTAAATATAAAAAATTAAAAAAGCTGTCCTAGGATAATGGAGACGGTAGCAGCCGCTGTTATAAGTAATTTAATGTACACCATTGCTAACGAACAATCAATTCTGAGGTAGAAAAGTTGTTCACAGGAAAAAAGAAAACCGTAACATTTTTAACCAATACCTACATTTTCCCATTTTTTTGATTTTTCACATTTGTTGAGAAAACACCTACGAAAATCGAAAAATAACTTAAGTACCTCCCCACACCGATTTCCTTTCAGAAAATGTGTTACATTTACAAATCGGAGCAAGATTTTTGGTTGAAAAGTTGCGCACAGAAAAAAAAAATTATATTGTAAAATTATAAGCTTCTTTGCTCTACTCATAATCTTAAATACGTTGAAGTCTGGTTCTTGGGTAAAAAAAAAAAATCAAAATATCGAAAAATGCCAAATATAAATATTTTCTATGCCTTCCATCTCGCCAATGTTTCGTGATTGAATTTTCAATTTTTCCATTTCCTGCAGAGAATGACAAGTTTAAAAGTGTGTGTTTGCGGTCTTTGAGAAATTTTTATCTCTAAAAGTCTGCCTCTTGTGTGTTCAAAAAAAAAAAGTCAAAGTATCAAAAATAATCCTTTTATTTTCCATACCCCTTCCTCACCTTATCAACGTTTTTCAATTAGAATTAACATTCTAATTTCCTACAAAAATATAAGAGATTTTAGCAATTTTATTCATTACCTACTCAAATGCCATATTGTTGAAAAGGGTTAAAAAAAATTGAAATATCGAAATTACTGTTTGGCAATTTATTTGGGCACAATACTATTAGATAACCACTAAAGCATTTTTCGATTTTTATAACCCATAAATTATAGATTTAGTTTTGATTCCGAGAGGGTGAGAGCCAAACAGTCTCTATGAATAATACCATGTTTCCAAGCCCTTGAACGCGCACCTCTAAACAGGGACATGAGAAATTGAAAATTCAATCATGGGTTAGAAAAATACACGCATTTGACGTTTTTCGATATTTTGACTTTTTTCAACCCAAAGACCCAGTCATTAATCTGAAAAAAACTACTAGATTAAATATGTCAATTTTAATTTTTGTAAATATATTATTACATATTGGTAAATAATATTTGTTTTATTTCAAAGAATATTTATGTTGTTGATAATTTTTAATCTCTTGATTCTAAATAATTTTTTTTTTATAATTATATATTTAACTTAAAGCTTTAATTAACCTAGTTGTAAATATATTAATAATTATTAAATTTTCTATATAATAGTTCTTAAATTTGTTTTACAATTTATAGATAGTCATAATGCACAGATTGTCGAGTTTACTCTGAGTTATTCAATAGATTATTGCAAATTAGCCAAAGATACATTTGCTATACAATTAAACAGTTTTACATACATGTTAAAGTTTAGAACACCTAAAGGTAACAAAATTTATAAAGTAAATTAATATCAATCTACCTTTATAATGTATATGTATATATATATATATATATATAATTATATTTTAATTGATGATTGAATTAGACTTGTATGAATTCTCCTTATTGTTGGCTCATGCTAAAAAAGGCAATCAACTCTCTGTATTTTCAACACGAACTGATGAAGCATCTGCCACACAATATTTCCAAGTAATTAATTTGTATTCAATATTATTTAAATCTACTAACTATGTTATGTTTATTACCTATTGAAATTGTATAGTTTTATGGATATCTTTCTCAACAACAAAATATGTTACAAGACTATATACGAACTAGTACCTACCAAAAAGCAGTACTAATTAATACCATAGACTTTCAAGATAAAGTTGTGTTGGATGTAGGTGCTGGATCAGGAATATTGTCATTTTTTTCTATTCAAGCTGGCGCTAAAAAAGTTTATGCTGTAGAAGCTAGTTCTATGGCTCAACACGCACAAGTATATATTTCATTCACTTATAATGTTTAACTTCAACTATTTATTTATGTATTTATTTGTAGACTTTGGTAGACTCTAATAATTTAGGAGACAAAGTTTCTGTTATTGCTGGTAAAATTGAAGAAATTGAGTTACCTGAAAAGGTTGATGTTATTATTTCAGAACCAATGGGTTATATGCTTTATAATGAACGTATGCTTGAAACTTATTTACATGCTAAAAAATGGTTAAAACCAGGAGGTAAGTTATAGTTTATTAGATTTAATGATTCAAATAATACTTAAATTTTAAATGTTGGTTATTATACTTTTTTACTCTATTCTGTTAATTTTGATTTAATCATTTTAAAAATGTATTCTTTTAGTTTAATAATACAGTGTGTATGTTTGTACTACTTTTTAAGCATTTAGTTTACTAACTTTTTATTCAAAATTTCAATTCTTTGCAGATTTCTTAAAACTTTAAGAAGTATATTGTCACTAAATGTTTATCTGGGATACTATAAGTAGTAGATAACTTCTAGAAAAAAAACAACAAAATTAGCCTTTCTGATATCTCCTTATTTTATTTTACAAACTCCATGAAATCCAGAATATTTATTCACATAAAATAAACCTGAAGCTATTACTCAGGGATTTAGTGTTAGATCACTGGTTCTTCTGGTAGATTTCTCTGACTAAATTAACAATTTTCACTGCTGGCAATTGGATTGGTAATACCCTTATTCACATTTAATCAGTATAATAGTTCTCTAGTACATCTTAAACAACATTGAATGTCATTGCTTTCAATATTTTGTTATTTTTACTAGTAAGAATTATAATTTTCTTATTTTTAAATAATAAAATACCAAAATAGATATTTTTTCATTAAATTAAAATAAGTATTAATTTTGGTCAGAAACTAATTGATTCTGTCTGGTAAACCTGCCTAGTAACTATACTTCTTAATTTGTTTATATAAACTGGTGATGGTTATGCAAGTTTCAAAATGTTGCAATCAATTTTTGACTCGCTTTTGTTGCCCTAGTCAACTTGACATTTTATGCACACATATTTTTGATAACAATAACAAAAAATTGTATGATTCAACTTAAAACTAGCTATTATTTTTAATTTGAAAATATATATATATTTATGTGTACAAATTTATTATTAAAAAATGTCGAACATTATTGAACTTGTTATGTATATTTTATTTTATCTTATATACACATTATAGTGTTTAATTACGTAAGAAAATTATATTATATAATTTTGCTTATAATAAATTCTTTATATCATTAGTATGTATATTTTATTTGTAGGTAAAATGTATCCTAGTAAAGGTGATTTACATATAGCTCCCTTTTGTGATGATGCATTATTCATGGAACAAACAAATAAAGCCAGTTTTTGGTATGTAGTATATTAAAAAAATATATATATTTTATTTATGTTTATGATAAATAATTAAAACTTTAAAGGGTCCAGTCATGTTTTCACGGAGTTGATCTGAGTGCACTGCGTGATATGGCCATGCGAGAGTATTTTAGACAGCCGATAGTTGACACATTTGATATCCGTATATGTCTAGCTAAGTCTGTTAAACATAGCTTAGATTTTCTAACAGCTACTGAACAACAGCTACATAAAATTGACATTCCTCTTGAGTTTTTTATACTTGAATCTGGAACACTTCATGGATTAGCATTTTGGTTTGATGTTGCATTTCAAGGAAGTTGTCAAACTTTATGGCTTTCAACTTCACCAACTGAATCATTAACTCATTGGTATCAAGTAAGATGCCTTTTAGAAAAGCCCATTCTAGCTAAAGTTGGTCAAGTTGTAACTGGTAGTGTATCACTTCAAGCCAATGTGAGGTTAGTATATTGAAATGTTAAACATTGCTAATTTTATAATTCAACCAATTATTTTTAGACAAAGTTATGATGTTTTAATAAATTTGATGATTGATGGACTTCCACATACAAGTTCTTCAAATAATTTGGATCTTAAAAATCCATATTTTCGATATACAGGTCAACCTTTACAGCCACCTCCTGGAGTTAACACATTATCTCCAAGTGAAAGTTATTGGGCAAACTTGGATATACAAAGTACTGCTGTTATTTTTTTTTAATACAAATTTCAAATTTTCTTAATCATAATTTTACTAATTGTAATACAATTTTAATCTACAGCTTTAAATATGGTAAATGGAATTCCCTTGAATGGTTACAACCCAGAAATTGCAATGGATATTCAATCTCCAACAGGTGTAGTTAATAATACAAATCTTATAAATTTAGGTAGATGAAATAATTGGGTTTATAAAATTTGGAACTTGGGTCTTATGCTATCTACACCGAAAAGTAGGTATTGGTAGTACCCACAATCTATAACATTCTGTTCTCAGATTTTTTTTCACATCAAAGATGTATTATTGTTACAACAAAATATTGCTGAAGAAAACCGACCATGATGGAGTAGATTTAATGTACAATATAGACAGGACATATATATATATATCAGTGTATTAAAAGCTATACACATATGGTGTAAAGAATAAACTAGTGAAATCTGAAATCTGGTTTAACTTGTAATATACACATAACTATAACTATACCTACAACATAAGAGCTCATCATCAACATTAGTTAATGTCCAACCCACATTTATCATCTGAGATAAAGATAACATTCAATGCGATAAACAGATAGCATATGATATGAGTTCCTAGAATATTATAATTTTAAGTTTTACTTAAAAAATTAATTATATATTATAGTTACAATTCCTCAACCAAATATTCACCCAGGCTCAATAAGTAGTACGGGCCGTCAACGTATCAGTACAGCCACATCAACAGCAGGTGCACAGCTTATTGGTGGTGGAATTTCTCCTACATTATTTACTTCTAATCAGGTAAATATAAAACAAATTTTTTATTGAATTAATAAATTTTAAGAATGATTTATGTTTGTTACAAATTGAATGTTCTTGAAATTTGGTAATTTGTAATTGCACTTTATTAATAATTCATTACTTTTTTTTGTTTGTATAGAACCAAACCCAACAATTATTAGGATCATCCAGTTCAACTAGTGCTTTAGGAAATTTTCCAGTTAACAATAGTTTAATGATTGGAGATTATGTATCACCAAATATTTTAAATGCATCATATCGTTAATATAAATCTTTTTTTTTTTTGTATACGAAAAATCATTCATTTTCTAACAACTATTTAGAAATTTTTTTTCTTTCATTAGGTTGTTTTCAAGCACACAAATAGTGATAAATATTTAATACAACTTATTTTTATTTACAATTTAAAATTTGAAATAGTAATTTTTTTAAAAAAAAAAAAAAAAAAAATTTTTTCTGCGATTCACTTCATTCTTAAAATTTTTAGTTATAGAATAATATTTCAATCAATGAGCACTTGTTATTTTGTAAATTCAAGATCGAACTGTTTGAAAATTGAATAAGTGTAATACTTTATGTATACATCACATTTAACACATGTTAACAATTGTAAATTTAATAAAAATTGTTTTGTTTATAAATCTCATAAATTGTTCATTAAAAATTTAGTTAAATGGTTAAAGTTATGCCAATCTTTCAAGTACTTATTAATTTTTTTTTTATATTAATGAATTAAATACATTTTTATTCTTAATATTTACATTTTGTAATTTAATAGAATGCAATTTATCTCGTGCTTTATTGTTTTCAAGGAGACTATATGGTACATTAATGACTTGGCTGCAATAATTACTTGTATATTTTTTTTTTACTGTAATATAGTAAATAATATCAAGGATGAAAATTTTACCTTTTTTCTAATGTTTTTAAATGTTGTGTTCTCTAATGTTATTTGAATATAAAATACTATACAGCTTTTTTACAATATATTTAAATATTAATTCATTATTGTGACTCCTACTGTATTAAATGTACATCATAGTAGCGTATAAATAAATAGTACAAATTATAAAGGATAAGTATAATTTCAAATTCATTGTTTATCATCTATTTAGATATTTATTTATATATATATTTGATGGATTAAGCATCCAATTACAAAATTATGTGTGAGAATACAAGTAGGTATATATTAATACAAAAGTAATTATTAAAAACTTTTTAAAGTATATAACAATCAACATAAAATTAATTATAATTCTATACTTTTTGAATATCTCAAAGAAATTAAAATGGAAAAATTCAATATTTGTTTCCTTAGCTAAAGCCATAATCATATTTAAAGGAGAAGATAACACATATATGATATTTTGAGAAAATACATAAGAAATATCTTTTGACCTAGTTTTATATTGTGTGAAATTAAAATTAATATATAGTAGTAAATCAGGACAAACAAGTGTTTAAAATTTAAAAGTTAGATCAAAAATGATTAAAGTAATTTAATTATTTTTGTAAATTATTTTCCTTCTAAATAATTAACTAGATATATTAAAAATAATCATGAAAAACTGGTATTGGGAGTGAGACTTACAAATTATATTATTTAATGAATTAATAAAGTAAAAACAAAATTATTAAAATGATTAATACTCGTAAATAAATACATAATTAAAAAATTATTATGTAAAAATAAAAGAAATTTAACTTGGAGTATTACGATAAGTGTATTATATGACTATTTTCAATTAAAAATTTATCGTCAGGTATAACACAGTTAAAATGTCATTTTATATTTTAAAAATGTAAAACTTCAACACACAATAAATATAAATTATTAATATTATATTATAGATAAACAGGATTATAAGAACTTAATGTTTTGCATTAGTTTATTAAGTTGACATCAGTTGAACAAAGGATTTTAAATCATTTTGTAATAATAATGCATCCTTAGGGGAAATTTTAAATTAAAACAATTTGAAGTCATCAGCGAAGAGTTGCTTTCTTGAATGTGAAAATTGTTAATCATTAATAAATAAAAAAAATATTGGAGCTAAATTTGACCCTTGAAGAATACCAGATGGGATAAAATATGATTCAGATTTGAAATTTATGAAATTGATTATTTGATACAAAAGATGACATCCAAGAAAAAAATGAGTTATGAATCCTAATAGAATGAAGATTTTATGTAAAAATAATGTGATCAACTTTATCAAATGGTTTTGCAAAATCCGTATTGATGACATCTACTTGAGAGTCAGTGTTTTATGTGGATTTTCCACATAGCCAACATAGTAATCCTAGACTATTGGTTACAAATACCATTGATGTGCTCCATCCCTAAACCTTGTTAGAACTTTAAGTTGGCCATTTGGGAATCATTTGTTTCGAGCCTTGATCATGTAGTACATTACATTCCCCCATCCTTAAGTAGCTAAACCTAGTTTTTAGACTCTGTGAAAGTGGCAGCTCAGAAACATATTCCAAGAAGATTTAGGAAATCAGGAATTCCATAAGACACATGATCATAACATGGCAGACAATTTGCTAAAAGCACAGAATGAATCCACTGCTAGTCTAAACTTCACCCATTCCAGCCGACAAGCCTGGGACTTGGGTAGGAAACTCGGTCCAGAATTACCTAAGCCTGGCCAATATAGCACCATAAGTGCTAACAATGTGGCAGTCAGACTTATAAGGGTTGCCAAAGCAAAAATGCATAAGATACAGAAACCGACTATGAAACGAAATTATGAAGTGAGAAAGAAAGAAATGAAACATTAGTATGACCATTTTTTTTCTTATTAATTATTAATATTAAATTTAATTATTTCGTCCCCTCCATGATCAAGATCTAGAGATCCCTGTAATTGTTAGAAACTATTGTTATAGTTTAATTCTTTTGTATATTTACTGTAAATATTGTTGTTGCATAATTAATAAATTATTATTATTATTCTTATATTGTGACTATAATTTAATTCTTAATATCAATTACCACACAACACTCCATTTCACCTAGTATTTTCATAACCATCTTTGGAGATAAAGGCTAAAGGCTTCTCAGGTCAAGTGTATTTATAATATTATCATATTCATTAGTTGAACTTGGAATAAATTCTATCGTTATTAAATTGTGTTAAGTGATGAACACAAAGCTTAAGTCTTTTAGACCTTTAAAATATAACCTAGAGACCTTTATTTATATAAGGCTGGCTAGTGTAATAGAAATAGCTAACCAGCTGCTCTGACTAAGTGGTTAGGATTAGGTATAAATATCGACAACCCTTACATTCCATTTCAAAAACCAAGGAGGTGAGTTACATAGTGTAATCACGATACAGGAAATTACCACTTCATACATAACATCTAAAAAATGTTTTATTTATGTTGCCATATATATATAAAAATACAACATTAATGGGTTAAGTACCTCAATAAATACTATTCGGATCCAATTCTTCATATTAGATAAAGAAAACCAGTAAATATTTATTACAACTATTATAAATAAACACTTTTTATTGAGTTCATTAAAAGTTACATGTTAATTAAAAAAATGTCACAATTTGTTTTTATAAGAATTATAAGTTCAAATTTATGATATAATTCTTAAAATAACAATTGTAATTAATTTTGTAATTACAATTTTTAATTTAAATTTATTAAAAGCAATACAAGTACCCTACAGGTTTTAGCTCTATTTATGAAACTAAGAAAAGTGAGTTTTTGATTATCACTAATTTATTAATTGCGTTATATTTGTACTTAAAGTACAAATTTAAAAAAAAAAAGTGTACAGCAATTAAATATAATTATAGTTTTAAAGTGGAAAAAGAAAGAATAAAAACACTAAAATTAATCATATAAGTCTTATAAACTCAAAAAAAAAAAGTTACACCAGCAGTTCAATATTTGAAATATAAAACACAAAGAAAGAAAAAAATAACAAAGTTAAATAATTCACACAAGGAAATCTATAGTTGTATTACCTTAGGTTAATAATATATTTATGGGGGAGGAATTTATCTACTTATTTGAGAAATTTGGATAGTAAAATGACTTTTGATGTCTAACATTGTGGATATTTATATTAAAAATAATTTGGATTTTAAGCCAAGGGTAATCAATTTTATTATTTAAAATTTTGATTAAACATTTAACATGAGACATTCCTTCTTTATATAAGGGCATTTGGGTTTAATAGATTTAAAAAATTTTCTCAACCAGAGTGAGTGTCTTAAAATATTACACATAAAACTGAGGGTTTTTTTTTGCACAGATTCAATTTGATTGATGAAACTAATATTTTGAATATCCCAAATTATTGATGCATATTCTAGGTGAGACTTTACAAAGATGTATAAAGACATTTAATGGTAAAAGAGTCATTCAATTTTGAGAAATTACCTATTATAAAAACTTTAAGGCTTTGTTTTTTTTTAGAGATTATATGATCAGTAAATAAGAGTTTGGAGTCTGAGGAAATATCAAGATCTTTAACCAGGGAAATGAGGAGTAAAACATGATTGTATAAATTACAGTCTAATATTAAAATATTAGGAATTTTTTTTTTCTGGGAAAAATGTTTTGATATTTATTTAAATTTAAAGCCATTTCATTGACTTTACACCGAAAGTGAAAGTTAATTAAATTTATTTGTAAACTGTCAGCTTCAAGTGATTTGATGTTCTTAACAATTTTTGTGTCATCAGCAAGTATATTTGGGTAGTTGATAATAAGAACAATATCATTAATGAAAAAATTAAATAAGAGTGAAGAAAGGTGGTCACCCTGGGGAACTCCAGAAGTGTCAATTATAGCATTGGATAGTTATTTATTTGAGCTCTTTACGATAAAAGTGAGTTGATCCAAGATAACAGAGGGTCTGCAAAACTAATTTAATTGAGTTTGATAATAAGTATCTTGTGGTCTATCAAAAGCTTTTTCCAAAACTGTGCAAACAACATATTAACTTATCATCTTATTAATAAGAGTCATTGACCAATTTAATAGATCCAAGTCATTTACAATCATCAGCAAAAGAATATAATTTACCGAAGTTCAGATTTAAGGTTGTCATTAATAAAAATATTGAATAAAAAGGGGAAATGTGATAAGAGATCTTCAAATGTAGTAAGGTAATTATACAATATTAATACCTAAATGTGTATTATAAATTTAAATGAAATAAAATATTATACTTCAGTATAAAAGTTTATTTTTCTTTTGGAACTGGTCTATACACTCCTACAACAACTGCATGGTCCCTTTCATATGGTTCTAGTGTAAGCTGTTCCATAGGTTTTAACTTTTCGGTTTTCAATTTTTCAATCTCTTGTGCAAAAACAGCAGCTGGTTCGGCTGTACTATCAATATAACCTGCCTAAAAATTATTAACTTGCCATTAAAAAGCAAAAATATTTGATATTAATAAATATTGAAATAATACTTACTTTAATTGATATTACAAAGTGACCTTCATTCTTTAAGAAATATTGGGCATTAATCGATACAATTCTAGCTTGATCAGGTTGAGCTACATCAGCAAAAATTGTATCTACCATTCCAACCAACATTCTATATTTATGTGGATGTCTAGCATCTTCAATAATAGGAACGATGTTAGTTCTCTTCTTAGCCACATTAATCAAATCACGACCAGACCTAAGTGAGAATTCAACTGCATACACAAGACCTTCCTATAAAAAATAAATTGAATTATAAAATTGCCTAATTTGTTTAATTCTAATATACTTACAGGACCTACTACATCAGATACATGAGATACAGTTGTTCCGCTAGCAGCACCCAAGTACAGTACTTTTGATCCGGGTGGCATATAAATTTCATCAATACCACCTAATATAGCAGCAGCCAATTTAGACCTAAATGGATTCCATAAACGGTATTCAATTTTTCCTCCTTCAGTCTAAATTTTTTAAAAAGTTTAGTATAAATTATCAATTTGGTTTTATGTTCTTTACCTGATAAACATTAATTGTCTTTTCTCCATAATTTGTTTGACCAGGAATCATGCTTTTGGTGACTAGTGCATCTTCTTTGCCACGAGCAATGAAAACTCCAGCATGACGATGAGGTTCAATAATAACATTTTTACCACGTTTGAAACCTTCGGGACCGCCATAAGGCCTATCACCACCACCACTACCACCACGACCTCTACGGCTACCACTGCCTTGACCACGAACACCTCCACCACCATCACCACCAAAACCACCACGTCCACCACGTTTATAAAAAGCTAAACAATCAAAATATAATATTCAATCAATCGTATAGATAAGCGTGTATTCAAGTTAATACAAAATATTTTATAGTATTTTAGTAGATGACATGTACTTTAAAATGCTAACATTGTAATATAAATATAATACTCACCCATTGTAAAAAGAACACAAATTAATATGAAATAATATTATTATAATAATAATAAACGCACACGCGAGTCAAAAATTAAACTATAAACAAGAAACGAAGCGGCAGTCAGGCAGTAGCAGTAGAGGCCGGACACAAAATATAATAATTGAATATTGATTATTGAGCATTCAAACATCTGTACATGCACATGCGCATGCACATGCGCTTAAAGGCCCGCGCCATTCTAGGGCGTTGTTGACGAGTTTTCTCCGCGTCGAAAGCTCGCGACAAATACGCTTGATAATAATAATCGGAAACGCCATGCAATGGAGCGGGCACACTAGCGCGGTTTTGACGCTGTCTGCTGCGGTTTTGCGTTTTGAACGCTTAGAATTATAACACATTATTTTACATGGTACGCAACATACCTCATCGGTACGTGATGCGTTTTAGAATGAATATCAATGCTATAATAATAATATAACTACAAATAGTCTGAACTAGACGAAGTATTTTTGTCTCAAGACATAGTGAACGCACAATAATAGTGTTGCGCGTGCAGATCGTGCGCTGAAATCACGAGGTGGCAAAATGCGCGTCAAAAATGCTGTTTGACCCTGTATGAGTATAGATCTATGTATGAAGGTTGAAAACAAAAATGTATATATCCGATGACACTATCGTCAGGCAAGCCTGTGGCCTGTCAGTTCATAACAATTAACAACACGGTCTTCTGTATAGTGCATTCTTGCCTGTGAAAACCTGTATGACAAAATCTATCGTTCACAATTTTCTGATTCGATCATTCACGATTATTTTTACTGGCGTCAGCATATTTTTGTAGACATTCCACGTGTTCCTAAATTTAATTTAAAGGATTGGTCAACTGCTATAAATAAATAGATAGGTAACTGCAATGTTAACATTATAGACATTATTATTAACAATTATTGAAAACTGCTAAATTTAGCTGCTGACCAATCCCCTGGAGGAGAAATGATCTATCGAATTGTTTTATCAGCAGTTTGATATTTTGTGGATAGAATGGTGTTTAACCAGATGGATTTGATTAACCCTTTACCGTGCCAAAATTAAAACTAATTTATTTGACAAAAAAATAAATATGTTTTATTAAAATGTGTTATGTCTAATGTGCTAACGTGGTTTCCAAATTCCAACACTCGACATTTATAATACAATGGAAATACGGTTTTTGTGTGTTGTAAATACTTTTGAAAAAATTTAAATGCTGACTTGATTTGTATACCTATAATATAATTTTATTATAACTTTTAATGTTTTATACTTATAGATCTCGATAAAAATTACGGACTAAGATATATTGGACAGGTAGCGACTAGTAAGCGGGGGTGAAGGGGTCTGTCCACGAAAAGTTATTGATAAGGCGGTGTATGAAGGGAAAACACTTTTTGAGCTCAAGCGCTATCTATTAGTTGAGCTCAATAATTGACTAAAAATATGTACCTCAATATTCAAATGAATTTATTTTATTTATAGTTTTTTAAATTGAATATTTTTATTTCTTATATGTAATATACATATTGTATACATATATTATATGCTGTTTATATTTATTTTGTTTCTAATAAATATATATTTTTAAGTATCCACTTTTGTTTTGTTTTCTCTTATAGTTAATACGCGTGCTATACTTAATTGTCTAAGTTGTGAGAGCGATAAAACAATTAAATATTCCTTACTTCAACTACATAAAAATGATTTGTAGTGTACAAATTGGTTACAATTTATTAATAAAATTAATAAAAAAATATCTTAAAGATATCTTAGCCCATGATAAAAATAATGAAAAATGAAAAGAATAAAATTGGTAATTGTGGCCTATGGGTAACCTCAAATAATTGTACTAATATATTCCAACTGAATAACAAAAAGAGTGTTCCTAACATCTGTCTACTGAGCAATCCGCTGGAATACACGGATTTACTCGTATTCTTGTAAGCATAACGATCCGATCGTTATCATCAGTACTTCGTAGTAATTCTTCTACTTATGTACGTATTTTGTTCGTTTTTATTTAAAATAAAAATGTTCGCCAGTGCATTCATCGGTTTTGGGAGTTTTTCTCGTGCAGGCGGTTGACTATGTACCGTTAGTATTTAATATACCTACCGAGTCGATATTAACTGTGAAAACAAAGAAGAGCCGGAAGTGGCGAAGCATTTCCTAACCTAGCCATGGAGACTTAGATATTAGTCAACGAGTAGAACAATAATTCTTCTAGTAATTTTTGCTAAAGACCAACAAACCAAACTATTATGGCGAACGAAGAGTGACCGAGGCATAAATGCATAATACATACCGGAAATGCGATTATGCTTGGTGATTTTTCTAATACTAATCACATGGTCGCCGACATAATCACTTGTCGAGATGGTTCAGACATTGTGTAATATATGGTATGATATATCAAAGTATGTAACCGTACTTGGTAGTAGAGAAACCAATGTTCACCGGTTAACAGATGATATGAGATAACAATGTTATCACCTTTGTAGGTTTTTCTACCATAATACGGTTCTATCAAAATATTTTTGTACTTTATATGCGTCCCCCGATAGAAGTTAAAACAATCCTTGTGGCCGCATTGGGTAACTTTAGGACTTCCATTTTAATTTTGTCTAGGAAAAAAAAGTAAAATCCGTGTGATAATAGTGGAACTGTGCTCGTGTACATTGAGATAAAGAATACATATTTATATACGTATACATAATGTAAGAATATATTATATTATCTATGATTATAACCGCCTTGTGTGATAGTATCTTCCATTGTAGTTTATTATGATTTGTGGAACTAAATATGACTTTCTTTTTTTTAATAATTTGAAAGTAAACTTTTTTAATTTTTGTTCTCAAAATTAATTTTAAATTATGATTCATTCATTGCTGGTCAAATCAAATTTAGTGATAAAAATTAAATAAATGTATAACATAAAAAAAAAAATTCTGCAACTAAATACTATTATTATTTATTTATTTATTTACAAAAGTCAATTTTGCATAGAAATATAATAGTACTATTATCAATAATAAGAATATTATAAAAATTGTAATTTTTTTGTGTCGTTATGATAATTTTTGTCAAAGAATATGTTCAAGCTCGTCTAATTATTGATGTTCATTTAAATACCTATTTGAGCAATTGCAATCATGGTGTTGAAATGTAGAAGCAGTTACTATAACAGAGCCAAATGTGTGTTTTCACCTCCTTTATTAATGGGATTTATTATTGGTATTTTATCGGTTTATACGTATGTTCTATTAAATTCTGACATTAACAAAAAGCAGAGTCCAATGACAATCGCACAAGATAATAGTCAAATAAGTTTTAATCGTCACCAGCAATATTATAATGTGGATTTGACGAAACCTAATTCAAAAGCTAATGTAACGCTACTATGTATTATATTCATAACTAATATTGACTCGTTACTTATGCAACATAACATTTGGCTAAAAAAATGCGGTCATCACAAAGTTTATGTGGGTAAACAAAAACACAAATATATAGGTCAAATTGTTACTGACACATATTCCCCGCACCCTTGGAAGTATAATTGTGAGACTCTAATATACTTGCATACAAAATACAATTCTGGTGTCATCAAATATGATTGGATATTTTTGGCCAAGGATAACGTCTGGTTAATTTATGAAAACTTAGTACATCTAATATCGTTGTTGAATGAAAATAAACATAGGCATAATTATTATGCTGGTCAATATACTGATGGCATATTAAGTATGAATGGTGGCATATTACTTAGTATGAATACATTAACTAATTTGGTGTATTTATTTAACAACATAAATGCTTGTAATACAAATATATCTAACAGTGAAAATCTAATGTTAGGTAAGTGTATAAAGTTTTTGTAACAATAATTATTTTAATTATATTTTGAAATATTTATTTTCAATAGATTTTTATTTAAAAAAAATGAAAAATACCATCCCTATTAGCAATGCAGATCCCAATGGTTGTACATTGTTTCATTCAATAAATCTTTATGGAGCTTTTAATGCAAAAAGTTTAAAACCAGGTGTCCTAAATGTATGCATAGTAGTTATAATAAATAACAAGAAATATCTAAAAGTTATGATTAAAATTTTATTTTTTAGAAATGTATTAGTAATTTTGCAATAACATTTCAATTGGACTTGAGTATAAATTACTATGCAATGTTTTACAAGTATGTTTTATATAAAATTAGAATAGTAACCAAGGAAGATCTATTACCTAATGCTAACAGAATTTTACCGCTACCATCTCCTGAAGATAACAATGTAAGTTAAAATTGTTTACATAACTTCATGCAGTGGCAGTATGTGAATTTTTTTTTCCTATGAAACAATTTTAGTAAAATGACAATACATTTCATAAATCCCAAGCTCAGAAATTAAGAACTGTAACTAAGTACTATATGTTCATATAGTTACACCTTTTTCGTTAACATATCTAATGATTAATGGTTAAATGGCACATATACTCAATTTGAATATGGAACAGCTGCTTTATAAATACATATTTACATAATACTTATTTATTGAAAAATGTTAATTATAGATCTGGCGGATAGAAGCAATGTATGAATTGAATCGTGATCCAAGTAATATGTCACAGCATGATTTTTTTTACTACTGGTCAAAAAAACATCAAATTATATTATAAAAATAAGTTACCAACATTTTTTTTAACTTCACAGGGTAATTATGTAATTTATTTACTTAATAGTTATAAAATACAGTAAAAACTTGTTAAACAACACTACCATTAAAAAAATAATATCACATACTACATACCAGTGGCACTGAAGTCAATTTTTACAAGTGGGACAGTCACATTTATTGTGGTAGCCCAGGTACCCAATTATATTGAAATAGAATAAATAAGAAAAATAAAATAAAATAAGGTCACTACTTAAATTCTGTATACTCTAGAAACAAGGTTTTATATGTTTAAATCTCTGATAACAATTCAATTCATTAAACCTATTAGGCCCTATAATATGGTTTTTATGGGGCCAGGGACATACCCCTCCCTTAATCTGGGCCTGGACACCCCTTTACCATAAAATAGTAACCTAATTTATAAGTACCACAGCATTAAAAAGATGGACATAAGCATCATGGGTGGGCCACCCTTTTAGGTGAAAAGTTGGGAAGGTAGGTATAGAGAGAAATTTAATTTAAATATGGATTTAGAGCAAGGTTTCTTTTATACATGTATGTAATTTTTCCTGTTTTTCTAAAAATCACTTGAAAAATGACCTACTCCTCTGAAAATACTCTGATCCATGGCCCACACACCAACCTACTGATAAAGTATGTGTAACAGCCAATATATTTGAGTTATAGCATAGTGGCCACTATACTGTTCATATCAGTCATACCTACCCACATATTAAATTTAATAGGTGGGACAGTTGCCCATCTAATAATAGCGATAAACACCACAGCTACATACATTTATTTTGAATATAAAAGCAAATTGTTCTTTGTGTTTAGTTAATATTGTATATTGTTTCAGATGTGAGTCTGCATAAAATTTATATTTTACTTTGCCATTAAGTCACATAATAACAGGGTTTCACTGTATATAAAGAAAAGACAATTTTTAAATGATTTTATTTTTAAATTTTAAAACTATTATTTATTTTCCATTTTTAATATATTATTTTTATTTTTTGACATTTGGATATAATTAATAGTGGGTAATTATTGTTCAATTTGTACCTAAAAATAGAGATTTAGGTATGCAGTTTTGTGTCCATTATAATATATGTACATTTTTTCAGCTACTTTTGTATACTTCTAGCTGCCTCTTTTGGATTAAACTTTAGGGGGGGGGATTAAAATGATAAAAGTTGGGTTGAAAATCAATATGAATCTCATTTAGTAAAGGTACTGCGTTTTAATGAAAACTGGTCAGTGACACGCAACCCCCTTCATTTAGATTCAATAGCGATGGTATGGAGCATGCGCGAAACAGTACCTTTCTTTTGTGAAACAGATTATGGATCTGTTAATTATAAAACAATTAAAACATAATACTGTAAAACTCATTTTTGAAAGATAGATATTAAAAACTAATGTTCAGATAATTTAGATCAACCCTTGTACAATATTTTAACTTTTAAGTATACAATGTATGTCTGTAAAACAAATTGTTCCTATACCAGTTTTTAAATTACAAATTAAAACAACCTATTTTTCCTTTTTATGTTGAAACTAATGCCGAAAATACAAATAGATCTTAGGATACTTACTTGTTACTAGCAAAGAGTACATAGGGAAATTTGAAACGAAAACAAATTATTTTTGTACAATATTTTTATTAAATTTATAATTACTAATAATAATAATTATATTATAATATTGATGGAAAAACAAAAAATTTATTGTTTTATTATTATCTATTTATTATATTCAGAATATTTTAAAACAGTGATAATTCTACAACAGAAACCATTTCAAAATTTGTACAGATTTATGATATACTAGAATTGGATACATGTATTGCAAGAAACAACCTGTTTTCTTTAATTTAAAAGGATCATGTTCAGCTTTGCAAAACAAATAAATGCAAGAATAAAGGTATGGTCAAACAGAAAGCGGGCTGACCCCCGCGATCTGTGATGTCAAACAACCGTGCAATTTTGCACAGTTTGTTGTTTAGTATCATTTTTGTAACCTAACCTAACCTTAGAGTTACACCGTGTATAACACATTTGTTAACACTGTTTGTTCTGAAAAAAACTGATTGGTGACTAAAATTACTTTATTTGAGACTGTGAGAGATGACATCTAGTAGCAGTTCTGATGAAGAACTTCTTCTCTTTGCACTGAACAAAACGAATAAAAGAAATGAAAAAAGAGAAGAGTTTGGTGAATTTCATCACCTCTGCAATGAATTATGAACGAGATCTATTAATTTTTCAGTTTCGTCTGCCATAGTATATAATATTGCATACAATTTCATAATAATAATTTTTATGCACATGTACATTATTACAACTAGACTGCTACCCACTGCGGTTGACAGCAGGCCGCGCTATTTTTAACTGCTATGATGCAATCAAAGATAATACTGTGCCCATGATAAACAGCGCGGTCAGCCTGCTTTCTGTTTGACCGTACCTTAAGAAAGCAAACAGACTTCCCAATTTATCCTAGTACCATTATAGTATATTAGGTACAAATTAATAAGTAATAATACAATTTTAAATAATCTTAATGTATAATAAAAAAAAACAAATTTTTGATATTGTGCCACGAATATTAGATCAATAATTATTTCAAAATATTTAGGATATCACAAATAACTAGTAGTACAATTATAATTAATAGTATATTAATTTTTTTTTCATCAATATTATATAATTATTAGTAATAAATAATAAAGTAAAACAAAATTTTACTCGTAAATATATATGCAAATAAATACATTTTATAATTTTTTCGCTATGTATTCCTTCATTACTTTTTCATATTTAGTCCTGTTTTACTTTTTGACTGATACCTGGCGATGAATTTTTAATTCGAAACAGGTTACAATACACATTTCATAATATTCTAGGCACGTTTATTTATTAGTGATAATACATTAAATTAAATAAATATTGTACAACAAATAATTTGTTTGTATTCATGTTAACAAGAATTTTTCACAATTTTGTAGAAGAACATACATAGAAGTCTATAGATAGATGGGTGGTGTTGTCTTAAAATTGTTTAATAATAGTGTTATCAATAGGTGTGTTTTGGCAATGAAATTGTCAGTACAGTTTGCTGTTGTTTACTACTTGGTTGACCAAAATATTTTGTTTACTGTATTATATAAAATGGATTGAGTGATTAAATGGTAATCACTATTAGTAAGCGAAAACAGTAAACTTAGTTTTCAATTATTTGCTGATTCTGGCAACCAAAAAGTGCATTTGAATATCAAACAATTACATTAAACTATGTCGCCAAAACAGTTTATTCATTAAACTAGCAACCTCTTTCTCAAAACCGCATCACTAAAATACTCTTAATTATATTTGATTTTAAACTTTCTGTTAACTTCATCACAAATTTGAACACCAAATTAATTCCATCAAAATATTAAATAGATGGTGTTACTTCTTATGTGACAATATCTAATATCTATTTACTTAAAATGATTTTATTCTAAATTAAAAAGATTACTTGATTAATAATGCAAAAAATTGCAGCCTTTTTTTCTAAGCTTGGCTCTATTTGAAAAATATACATGTTATATTATGTAAACACAATAAAACTAACATTATAATTTTTTTTTTTTTAAAACAATTCTTTATGATAATGCATGGTAAAAATGTATACCTTTTCTTGTATAAGCATTGGAGTTGTGTGTATTAAGATTTACATAATAAACAATTTAATTATACAGGTTATACAATAAAAGATTTTGCCCATGGTTAAATATAAAGGTTTAAATGTTTATATGCAAAATATACAAACACTATTTCATTATAAATTTATACTATTGACATAAGTTGTTTCCAAATATTAATATTATATTGCTGTTTTTTTTTTTTTTTAAATGTATACTTCCAAGAAATTATGAAAGTATTAATAATTTATACACAATTTAACTTTTTAATATTAAAAGTGTATTATTTTTATATAATAATATGATGTGAGAATAGTTATAGTTCCTTCTGATAACTTTAATTTGTATTATTAAGTACCTATTATTTTAACTCATGTTTATTGTATGTATTTTGTTCATTTAAGTTATGCAATAATAAAAACATTTCATAAATATGTAAATTTGATTTTATAAAATAATACTGATAAGATACATAAATAGAATTATAAAATGACTAAAATATGAGACACGACGCCAAGGTTCAAAAGAATCATAATAAGATCTAACAGAATTAACCACAGACACATCCATCACTGAACCAAGATAAGCAAGATGTATAATGTTTAAAATTGTAAAAATAAGATTTATAATCCATATAAACCATGTACAATTATTTGTACTTATATATTTTTTAGAATTATGATAATTTTTAGAATAATAAGAATAAGTTTTTAAGAATTTTGATGCTAATTTTGTACGCAATCTGTGCTCTACATATGTATAAAGAGCCAGAGAAAGTAATACAGCTGACAAACGTACCTCTAAACCATGTAATAAAGAACTCACTAAATATGTAGCACCCACAGCCAATATTTTATTTGTATGTTTATTTTTCTTGCCATATTTTAGAACTTCCTCAAATATATCTAAATTATATTAATCTATAATTAGTACAACAGATCAGATTAAAATTGTATAAACTAACTTACATTTTTTTAACCAATGATGCATTGGTACATTCCAATAGATAACTACATTTAGCAAAGATTGTGGCCATTCTATTGCCATTGGTAGAGTCACTAAGATTTCAGTATTGTATCCACAAACCATCGCAAACACAGTTGACATATATGATATAAAATAATGTCCAGTACGAAATTCCAAGGCTTGTTTATACATAAGCAGAAAAATGTTAGTGATTGTATTTCTGTAAAGTAAAATTATAATTATTATGGCTTAATTTTAAAATAATAAAAGTAAAAAAGATATAACCTGTTTTCATCTATATACATATGTTTGTTAAGTAACCAATCCAACAAACATATTGACATTACAAAGCAAAACAATGAAATGATTATTTTCCTTATCACATTGAAAACTTTAGAAGTATTCTTACATGAAAAATAAAATGTACACAAGTGTATAAGTACTATACAATAATTAATTAAAATAAAAATACATTATATTATATGTTTACCCAGTAAACTGGTGTGAATAAAGCATTTTTGTATTCTTGAAATGTCAAAAAGGGGCCTAAATAAATAGTACCAGCACACAACATATAACCTGTGTATTGATAGACTGGTGGAAATTTATGCAACTCATTTGATCGGAGGTCAAATAATACAGCCATAGCCTTTAATGACATAAGCATGTGACAACTTTTGGTTTTACGCCATTTTGTATCATCGGAAAAACATTCACTGAAATAATTTTATTACAATATTTAAAGAGTTAAATAAATTAAAAAATGTTAAATCAGGTGTATGAGTATTAACTCAAATACTATTTATTACATATCACATAAATTAATTATTCAGAAAGTTTTGTCTACGATTGCAAATGCTGTTGTAAGAGGAAAGTTAGGAAGGTAGGTTACAGACAGGAATTTAATTTATATCTGAAAGCAATGATAAACTATTGCTAACGAAAAACAATTCTGAGCGGAGCTCAATTGATAGTGTTGCTTTATCAACAATATAATATGTCATATTATGGTAAAATCATTATATATGCATTAAACATTTTCTTTTATAATATTTGTTTAATATTGTACTTATTTTATTTCTTTAATTTTTACAATATATTGAAAAAATCAAAAAATGATCACCTTAGTCAAATTCCCTTTAAGAAAAATTGCTATCATTGTAAATCGGAGCAATATTTCTCGTAAAAAAAAGTGTTCACAGATAAAAAAATAAATAAACATCATTGTAAAACCTTAAGCTCTTTCGCTCCACTCAGAATCTAAAATGTAATTATTATGAAATGTACATTTTTAAAAATATTTGAGTGCAAATATAATAAAATAAATATTAACTCACCGATATAATAAGGTTAATAAGATTACTGTAGAAAATATAATAGATGTATATTGTTTCAATGTCAATAAACATATTATGGATAATGTGTAACAGAACATAGGAAATATTACAATTTGAAGTAATAATTGAAACAAATCTCCATCTTCATAAAATAAAATTATTGGTAAAACACCACAAATTGTACAAACTATATGAAATACTGCTTTAGGAATAGATCTAATTTTATTGCCTAAAACCAAATAATATTTTTATTCCCTTGATAAATAGTTTTAACTTAAGTTCTTTGTTTACATACCTACAACAACGAATAATCTGAAAAAAATACATAAAATAAGGGTAGTGCCCAATAAATTACAAGTACTCCAAATAGCTGGCAGAACACACTGAGTGCACAATTGGTAAAAAGACAAATGACTCCAAAATGATTGTTCATCTTGATTTTGACCATCTATTGCATCATCGTACAAATCATAGTAATCTAATTAGATAAAAAATTAGAATAATATTGTTTTCTTTATGTATTTATTGTAAAACTTTATAAACAATGATGATACCTGCAGGAGAATTATAAAAGTAGTCTTCAGTGTATTCATTACCACCATAAGAAAGTGAAAGTTGTTGCTGGTCCATAATTACAGTATATTATGAATAATCATAATTTTAAATGTACAATATCAGTTTTAATACATTTATACGTATTTTGGTTGAAGTCCAGCTCTTGGGATGATAAAAAAAAAAAATCAAAATATCGAAAAACCTTCCGTAGATTTTCTCTTGCCTGATAAACGTTCCGTGCTGAGAATATCCATTTTCCCGCAATAACATGCAAGATATTCTTAACTAACGAAATTGTATACACAAATCGTATGGCCACCGCAATATCATTTCCTTATCTATGCAATAGCCGACAAAGAATCAGTGTAACCGAACTCGTCAAAAATAAAACCCTATAGGTAGGAACCTACCGTATACTTATACGGAAAAACTAAACATAAAAATATCGAGAAACGTAGTTGTCTATTCGTATAGCCTAAGTAAATATTGACAAGACGTTAGAATTTCAAGATAAACAAAATTCCTTGTCATATTTTAGATTTTTTCGACCGTTTTTCAAGAATGTTTATTGGAGGAACAGAAAAAAAATGTTCAAAATATATGCTATTAAAATAACAAAAGATTGATATGGTTGAATTAATTAGTTTAATATGTTAGAATTATTAACTTGTACATTTAACTAAATCAATCTAAAATGTTTTAAAAATTACTTAGCTCAATGAGCTTTTATAGATAAACTTTTGTAATAAATAAAGTTGAATTTAAGTGTGTATTTAAACTTATATTTTATGACACCCACCCATATCTATTTTACTTAATCCTACGTAAAATTTTAATAAAAATATATTATAGAGATAATAGTCTGATAACGATAATGTGATAAGAACTATGAATGATTACAAACAAATCGTTATCATGGTTCGCTATAGTTGGACTTATGTCGTTTTCGTTCATAATCAAAATTTGTTACTTTAATTATATCAGAGATATTATATATATATATATTAATTATATTTTATCAATGAATGGATCTTGTCACCACAAAAGACAGCTCTCTATGGAAAGCAACCCGAAAATGTCTTAAACAAAAGCCTTCACAAGCACCACTTAAAAATAACAATGGTAATTGATGCAAATCCGAAAAAGAGCAAGCAGGAACTTTTCGTTCTCATCTTTTGGAAGTCTTCCAACCTCACCAAAATATCAGAAATCATGCCTTCACAAAACATTGAAAATTCACTTATTTCTCCTCTTCCACTATACCTTGCCCTAAAACCGTTTTCTCCAGGTGATATACTACTCCTTATACAATTTTTTTCTCTCAAAAAATCATCTGGAATAGACTTAATCACTGCAGAAGTGGCTAGACCAGAGGTTCCCAAACTTTTTATTGTAC